TCAAATCAAAAACCACAAAATTCTCGAGCACAATGGGCATTAACCAACATAAAGGGGAGCCAACACACAGAGAAAACCACCAAATTCTCAAGCAGAAAACCTTTTGCAAAATCAAAAGCCACCTAAAAGTTAGGGTACAGATTACCCTGCACAAAGAGGAACCACCGCAAAGAGAACACCATGAAAATCTCGGTCATATACGCATTTCCAAATACAAAAACAATAGAATAGTTAAATTAAAGAATACCCAACAAGGAGCACCACAACACCGAGAAACCACAACACAGAGAAACCACAGCACAGAAGAACCACAGCACAAAGAAACCACATCACAGATAAACCACCACACAGAGAAACAACAGCACCGAGGAACCACCACACTCACAAACCACCGCACGAAGAGGAACCACCACACTCACAAGGAGCCGCAGAGTAGATAAAGAAAATAGAGAAGAGAACTCACCGAGAGAGACAACCCTATCCGTGAGGCTGTCCCGAACGGGGCCTAAGTAAAAACTTCATCATTTTCATTGCTTCAACCGCATTTCATGCTTTTAGCCCACCATTTTGTAAAGCACTACACAACATTATCACTCCCATCTATACCACATTTACAATACATGCTTCATTGCACTCTTACCAACAACGGTTCAAAAAACCATGCCAAAAAATAAGCCGAAAAATTCTACAAATTGTAATCTAGAAACAATTAAATCTATATTACATTAGATAGATTGCAAATCCAAGTAACTCGAAGGAAAAATGATATTCATATGGAATCAAATCAAAACTAATTATTCATTTTCATACCAAGAATTTTTAACTCAAAAGGTAGCACATGAAAGTCTAAAATATCTTATAGGCAAACAAAAATATGTTAAAACAATTAAGTGCTTAGATTGTATTCAGTGAAAGCAATTGTAAAACTGAAAAAACCTCCTCCAAACACCTTCCATTACTCATAATTATGCACAATCGTCCATCCATGGTCATGCACAGAGATGGTCCTTGTTTCCAGTGATGGCCGCAGCTACATCCATAGTTGGGGCATTGTGTGGCATAGTCCGCACAAGCTATTCGTGTGATGACATTAGACACCTTGTGTCGCCTGCATCTAAGGCGTCATGTGGTGACATCATCATAGAGCCTTTAACATGAGCTAGCATGCACAGTTAAGTTCAACATGTGGATTGCTCCGTGCGTCCTAATGTTGTTCGTCTTCACTCCCATGCACAAAGGTGAGGGGATGATACAAGGCTCCTTTAGGCGAGTTGATGTCGATTTCATTTCTTGAAACTATGACGAAATGTCTGTAGTAGCTCTAGAAGTTGTACAAAAACATAGACTAGATCGAAAATGTAACTTCAGTTAAGAAAACTTCAAGTAGAATGCATCTAGAGATCGAGCAACAAGTTATAGACAAAGTGAAGAAATTAATAGATGCTTATTTTGATTGTGAAGAGCCATACTTCACTTGGTTAGCCACTGCAGTCCTATTGAAGAAGAAAAATGGTTAGATCTAGGCTTGTAATGGTTTCAGAAATCTCAATAATGCATGCCCAAAGGAGAAATTTTTGTTGTCGACTCTAGAGTTCATGTTGAATATTGCAACATCTAATTCAAAATTCTCATTCATTAATTGATCATCAGATCAAAATTTTGACAGAAGATGAATAATTTACAAACCTAACAGGATTTACTGCTATACAGTGATGCCCTTTGAACTTAAAATGTTTGTGCGACCTAGTAGTAGGCAATAACAAGGATATTCAATTAATTCATTGAAAATCGGGTTGAGTATGATATGAATGACTTATTCATTAAGATCATAGAAAAGGATGAACTTTTACCTGATTTGAGAATTGTCTTTAAATAGTTGTGACAAATCAATGTCGACGTCGACACAGCTTCTCATAGCGTCAACATCAAATCCATTATCTACCTCTCTGGTTCCTAACCCACTTCGGGCCTTCCTCTTATCTCTCATTAGTGATACATTTTGGCTTCTCTTTCACATTCGTTGTTGTGCACAATTTCTTCCGTTAATCTTTGTTAAAGGATTTTATATACTTCATATCCCATCAAGATCGTTTTATATCGAAACTCCTACTGCGATGATTTCTCCCAAGGACTTGGTTGACCAACCAGTGAGGTCGTAACCACCTCCCCTTGTAACCGCTAATGCTTTGGAGGCTACTGCTCTTCCTTCATCCGTAGCGGTTGAGGATGCTCCATCTCAGCCTCTGCGCACATTTGCAAATGTTGTTCATGATTTGAATGTTTTGGATGTTTCAACTCCCCACACAACAATTTTCCATTATTCTCAAACCTTCATCATTTCAGGCCAAGCCTACTCTTCTCTTTTCTGATAAGGAGAGTTTAATGCTTAATAGGCCTATTGTACCCACTACTTGGCCAATGTTCTATGAATACTAGCATAATTTACAATTTTGTCTTTGATTTACAACCTTTAAGTTACTATTTTATTAGGCTCATTGATCCTCAGCATGTCATCATAAGATTTTCTTTAAAAGAAGGTTACATTACTCTTTTCACAACATTTCAACTAAATTAATCTCTCGTAATGCATATGTTAAAATAATCCTCCTATTTTGATGGCTCCAAGGAGGCTCCTATAACTGCAATATAGATCTCATTTCCACAGCTACGCCTTCACTATTTCAACCATTCTATATTTTTCTCCTTCATTTCAATATTTAAAAAACTTAGAGGTGGAAACTGCAACAACTGATTGTTTAGGTCCTCTTTGCTAGAGTCCGGATAGAATTCAACTTATTGCTCCATACCATAAAGAGGTGTGGCTTGGGTTTTCACGTTGATGTAAGGCTAGATGGAATTTAAAAATATTTCATCATACTGCTCCTCTTGCCATATTTTTAATAAAATTTTCTCATTGCTAAAAGGCTCATCTCAAGCTGAGAAATTCTCAAGTTCAGCTACAATACCTTCAACCTGATGACCACTTGGCAGAAGATGACCCTTTCTCCTATTCAAGTATATTCCCAAAGTTGAAGCGAAGTTTAAGATTTATTAAAAATCAAAGAAAACATCTTCCTAACACCACCCACTACCACGGTCACTCCCTCCTCTCACATTAAAGAGTCCAATGTCATACGGTGAAATCAATTTTCACACAAAAAATATTCTAACACTAATCTTAGGGGTGTAAATGAGCTAAGCTTGAGCGAGCCTAGTATTTGTTTGTGTTCGGCTTGTTCGAAAAAAATTTTTGTTTGAAATTAGCTCTTCTTTGAAATAACTCATGAATAGCATGTTGATGTGAACTCGTTTGTTTGTTTGTTACTCGTGTTCAACTTTAAATTCATTGGAATGGTTCAAAAAATAAAAAAAATTTAACATTTGTTAAAATATAACCTATCAAATAAATATAAAAATGCTATAATAATTATTAATTAATTGATTAATTCAAGTCAAAATGAGCCAAACATGATCAAGCAAATCAATATCCGTTTGACTTGGTTTGCAGCTCCTTTGTTCCCTATTTCTCCTATTGTGGCAGAAGCTAACGCTATAGTGAAGGCTTTATGAGCGTCAAAATGTTGTGGATGGAATCATATACAAGTGGCAATGGATTCTTTGTTATTATGGAAATGTTGCTCTTTGAAAATTGAGTGTTACATATGAAGAAGATTTTTGCTCTGAGTTCAGTTTTACATATTTCTTCGAAATATTCGTAGAGAAGGTAATAAATCTACATATTGGGCGGCTAAATTGGGTTGTTATATTCAGAAATTTTTTGTATCTAATACTTTGCCAAATAAACTTTATGTTCTTCTACATAGGGATAGGATTAATATTCCTTCTATTAAATTGGTTCCACCTTCTTTTCGATTTGTTGTGTGAGTGCATTGTTCGGTGACGATTCCATGGGTTTTATTTTGTGTGAATTGTAATTGGGTGTAGCTGGAACCTCCAACCGGTTTTTGTAGTTTTTGTTGATACTAATAAAATTCTAGGGGTTGTATGAAAAAAAAAAAAGATCGAGCAAATCAAACACAAGTTACATAGCGAGTCGACATGAGTTGTTTACAAATGAGGATCTTTCCTAACATGCATAGAAAACATCTAAAGCCATCCACTACCCGATCGGTACCTTCCTCTCACATCAAAGAGTTTAGTTTCATACAGTGACAACAATTTTCAAGCAAAAAATCCTCCAACACTATTAGGAGTGTAAGTGAGCTAAGCTTGAGCGAGTCAAATATTTGTTCGTGTTTGACTTGTTCGAAAAAAAAAATTTGTTCTAAATTAGCTCATCTTTGAAATAGCTCATGACTAACATGTTCTTGTTTGGCTAGATTTGAATTCATTTGCTTATTTGCAACTCAAGCTGAGCTTTACTTTCGCTCGAATGGTTAAAAAAATTATAAAATTTAAACATTTTTTTATAATAAGATCTATAAAATCAATATACAAATGTTATAATAATTATAAATTAATTTGCTTTAGCCAAAATGAGTCAATCATGATAAAGTGAATCAAAAATGAGTTACATAGTGAGCCGGCCAGCATGAGCTGTTTGCAAACGATGAGCTTTCTTGACATGCATAGATACCATCTATTGTCCCCCCTCTCACTCTCTCTCTCTTTCTCTCTCCTAACACAATCCAGCACCACCATCTTCTCCCTCACACTCCTCCCTCTCCCTTTTATAAACACCGGTCGATACTTTCTTGTTTACCACGCTTATATTATTGTTTGTGGATACTTGTGGCTAAATCCTCCTTCCAATTTTTACTTGCACCAATGGATGCTTTTGGCTAGTTCATGCTTCTTTATTCCTATATTGCTTACATCGGCGCAGAATTAAAAACATCTTAAGACTTGACGTGCAGTATTTCAAGGTCGTCGATGGATGCATAAACATTTTTTGAAGACTAGCATACATTGAAAAGGAAAATGTACACAAAAACTATGGGAATATCACTCAACCAAAGAATAGAAAAGAAATAACTAACTTGAAGAAACAAGCTTCCATCCAAAACCAAGCGATGGTTGTGTAAATCAGTTCCACCTGGAAGCACTAACACGTCTGGAACCAAGCCATCAACTTTGACCTATTCAATCAAAAAGTCACAATAACAAAGTGTTAAAATTAATTCTAGAAAGAATAACAAGAGGCCAGGCATTTGAATAAGAGTACTGAATTCTTTTTTATAAGTTGCAAAATATATAACGGCAATACCTAGCTAAAGTTAGCACTAAAACCTCAATATCAAATCATTATAGGAAAATATAGAAAGTAAAGATTGGAGTGGGTACATATAAGGAGGACTCAGATTTTAATACAGGTAAACGACAAATCAGCCACACATACGCTTCAAACTTGTATTACTAATTTATAAGTTGTTAAATATTGGTACAAGCAAGAGAAGAGTGCAACTATTTAAAACTGCTGGAAATATTCAAAACAACAATATCACTTTTACATCATCAAATATTATTAGGATTATATGGTCATACAGAATTGCATAATACATAAATGAAATTCTAAGATCAAAAAGCATTTGGACAATGGCTTAAAAGGACTATTTATTAGGATTATATTGCCATACAGAGTTGTATAATACATAATGAAATTTCAAGGTCAAAAAGAATTCCAAATCATTAAAAGGACAAAAGCATTAACAGCATTACAGGTTCATGTGTCAAAACATAGGCAAGTATAATTTAGATAATAATCAAACACACAAGTTCAGAAGAATCAAATGGTAAAGTTCTTGCATTAATACTCAGCATTAGGACAACTTTATGCTGCATAATCGCCTGAATTATCCCAATTTAACTATTTGTAAAAATTTACTTTAAATTTGAATAAATTCATACGCCAAGAATAAATTGATGATCTTTATTAGCTCTTCATCTAAGTAGTGGCCCCAGGTCTAAATTCGTGCAATCATTACAAAAATTGAAAAAAATATATGAAATTAATAAAAAAGTAACATGTTGATTATGCAACATACTCTTGCCTAGCATAAAATGGGAGGAAAAAAATTATATGGTGTGAACAATGGAGTTTACAAGTTACATCCAGAAAATAAGAAATGACTTAACGAACTAAAACTTTCTCAATTAGACCATTATGGGAAGAGAAGTAAACAACAGTTAGAAAGAATAAGTTGCGCTATTCAAAAATGTATGAAGCCATAAGGCAGAACTTGCCACCTCAAGCTTGGAAAACTAAGGACAACTTAAATAACTTGCAAAGTGCATCATGGAGGATACGTGAATACCTTGGTTATTCTCTCTAATTCTCGGATTGCAGACTCTGTATCTATCTTCAATGTATTTACACGGACAAATCGAGGTTTGGGTGAAACTGCAAATGAAAATCAAATGAATTGTCAATGTGCAGGTCTGAGCAACATAATCAGAAAAGAAACCATGCCATCTAGTTTCAGAAGTTCAACTTCCCAAATAGGCTTATAGTACCAATAAGTTCAGTAGCATGGCTCTTGGATAGCTTCAAAATCAAGTCACGCGACTAAAAATACAAAAGAATATAAAATAATATGCCTTTCTCTAGTTGAAGCTTAATAAAAAAAAAAAGTTAAACCCGGTGCATTAAGTTTCTGGCAATGCAGGATACAAGGAGAAATTCAGGTAACCAACCTCACCCCTTATCACCTAAGAAGCTATTTGTAACTTCAACCCATGACCATCAAATCACAATGGTGGAAATCTTATACTTAACTCTCAGCCTACACTTTAGTCTAAGCTTGATAATCATTAGGCTAAGCCCAAATGCATTAGTGATGGAAACATTCATACTGTAAATATTTGAAAGTCTGAGAGGTATCCTTAATTCATCACAAAGCAAAAGGAATGAGGAAAGAGTAAAGAAATACAAAAACAATAATTTCACAGTTTGGATGTAAATAGGAGAAAGAGACAAGTATCACTAATCATAAAATATTCAACAAATTACAAACATGCTTTTGCATGGATGCGCAAAAGAAGAAATATGGCCATGAGAATAATGCTGCATCATTAACAAGAAAGAGTTGAAAACAAACCGTGATTATGATTATCTAGAAGCAATTCCTCAACATGCTTCACTTTCTTTTGAGCACAAAGCTTTGATAGAGCTGATTCAAGGGAATCTTTATGAAGCACAATAAGTTTCTCTTGAGCACCTGTGATTACAATTTTCTGAAGAAAGAATATTAATATTTAACAACATATTCTGCTGCAGGAAAAATGAAAATATAAAACATTAATGAAAAATATGAGATTCTACTATACTGCACCCAAAGTGCAAGCATACAACTTTTACAACCTTTGCTTTACCCCTTTTTCACGTTTTAAACTTCCACAGTAATTCAATCAATCCATCTATTTGTTGCAACTTCTATCATCCAATACATGCCCAAATCAACTTAGAACTTCCTTATCTTCAATAGATATTACGTCTACTATCTTTCTAGCATAATCATTTCTCACCACCCTCGTTCAAAATTTTACCCCACATCTTAGCATTGCCATTCATAATTATCAACTACATTTCTTCCCTAATTCGTCTGATTGCAATTAAATAAAACCCATCTTTTAGGTATAAACAATACTCTATTATTACATAAATTTTTTAGCCACTTCTCCATTATAATTTTTGGCCTTTGAACTCTAGAAATAAAGATTTTGTTGATATCCCCATTTTTTTGTATGATAGCTCCAAAATATTCACACCTATCAGACCTATATATTACTTGTTCTTCTGGTAATATGAAGCTGCATCAAAACAAATTTTGCATTAAAATCCAAAAAAAATAAGGTTGAATCAATGGCAAAATGTGCACGCAAACCAGATGTGGATTTCAGGAAGAAATGAAATTTTAGAAAATGATTCTGCGAGAATGAATTCATTAAATATGCCTGCAAGGCTAGCTTTTTGTTAACATCCATGCATTTCCACAGGAGTTTACAAATCATGTGGAACATTGTTATCAAAATAAATAAGCTTGATTCATTTTGGTCATAAAGGTCTTTAAACATCAAAATGAAGAACAATTAATTTCAGATAGCACGTGCTCAGAATTCAATTTGAACTCCTATGAAACACATGAAGAAATATTTGTCAATCACAAAGAAACGTACACAGAGGACTGTTGAGTAAAAATTTGAAACCAACCTGCCCAAATAGAACGTCATATGCGGTCACATACAAGAGCGGGGCTTGCTTCTGCAAAAGTAAATGCCCATAAATTTAAAATATTAATCCAGTTTTCAAAACAAGCATTTAAACTGAGACGCTTTAACTGGCAACCAATCATAAATGTTTTGAAAATAAAATTTTAGATTTAGGAATGTTATATATACATTTCTTTCACCTTCCACTTCGCACTTAGTACATTTGCTGCTGCTAAAATATTCTTTAGAACAGGTAGATCTGTAAAACAAATGCTTATCAGTTACAGCTGAATAATGATGAAGCAATGACTGAAATAAACCTCAAAACAAAATGAACTCATGCTTAAATGGAGCAAGAAACTCAATGGCCAGAGATATTTCTACAACGTATGATCATTTTAACATGCAAAAAAATATTAATAGGTGATTAACTTCTTTCTTAACAAGGATAATTCAGAAGTGTTGCAATAACAAAACAAAGAAGGACCGCAAAGAATTCCAAATTAAACTTTTAGGTTTTGGTGCCTAAACTGTTTAAATAATGCTAATGTAATTAAATGAAGATACACACACATGACAATTTCTAACTATGATGACAGACGAAGATGCGTTTCTGAGCAAGCAAATAGTGAAGACTTATGTAATATCCTAATTTCTTGCATTGAGAGGAAAACTCCGAGATTTATTATCTCTTTTGAAAATATGCTGAAAATAATTATCCTAATTAATTCATCAGAAGCACTCATCTATAAATAAGCTAAGTGCAGAAACACTGGAACTCTACGTCAAATTCATTTTGTTCGTTAGCGAGGACAAGAAATGCTTTTGACTGAATTGATTGGATAAGATTATATCATTGATTGTTTATTGCCAATGTACAAGGAAAAATTTAAATGACTCATAGGTTGACTGAGGTCATGAATTCAATTAAAATGATGATAACGTATACTTCATTAATTGCTGAAAATGTAAAATTGAGGGACCAATTTTTTTTACCAATGGTAGGATTGTCATATCCAGATTTATTGGGCATGTTATTGCATGTGATGAGATGAGCACTCCTATCGATCCATGAATCCAAACTAAAATGATTTTAATGCTTTCCCAGCTTAAGCTACATAAGTCTCTTTAAATTCAGCTTAACTGTAGGCTGCTCAAATAGAAACTGAAATGCAGCTTTACCTGGTGTTGACATTAACAACAATAAGATACGAGCACTATGTAGCATAAGACGTCTTCTGCATATTCAGGCATCTATCAAACATCATTTTAGCAAAATTTGTCCAACTCTAACATAGCTTCCCAAGAGCTAGTGTCCAATGGATAACATCCAAACATTTAAATTTATTAAACATTATCTTAAGATAATTTTAGTTTATAGGATCAAATTAAAAGTGAAGATTGCATTCAATTCATCAAACTGAAGCAGAATTAAGTTTCAACCAAAAGTTATTAAAAGCTAAAATGATCGCCTTCTATTAATAGGAATATCCAGAGTGAAAAAATCAATACACTTTTAAAAATCGGTTGATCCCAGAAATATCTTACTTTATGTTAACAATAGAATTTACAAGAGTAGGATATAAAAATAAATAAGCAGTCAATCTTTGACTTGCTTGAAACTGTTTAAATGCTTTAAATTAGTCAAGGTCATCTAGTAAAGATAATAAAGGGATTATTTGGTTCAGTGACAACCGTAACTTCATGTTCTGACCTGACTGGTTCTTTCGAATCTTCATATAAAAAAAAAAAGACAATCTTGTCCGATTATTACTTTTGTTAGATACTGGCCAAATCAGCAGACATCTAAAAAGCCTATTGCAGTATTTTAATACAGATAGCATTGATTACAACATAATAAAAATGAATATAGTATTTAACAAATAACTGGATCAAACATCTTAATAAACTAACATCTGAATATTTCTGAGCTAAGCAATCAACAAATGTCATCAACTGCGCTCCAAGTCAGCTCATTTATATACAACAGTCAAGAAGATTCAAAAATTTTACAAATTAACGAACTTCATGACACCGGAACTAGTTCGGAAATCAGCAGAAGTGCAAAGCAAACTTTCAATAATGTAGAAATAGGGTTACAACATGACAACACTGGAAAAAACAATACAACGACGCTACGCTCTAGCTAAGGCCAGACGAGAGGACCTAGGGCGATGGTGGCTTCGGCAAAGTAGTACAGGGACGGGGAAGGGTTGGAGGTAGCGTGGTAGTTAAAAAGGGGATTTGGAAGGAGGGACGGTGGCTGATTTGATGGTTGAAGAAGTGGGGCGACAAGGAAAGTGGTGGGAAAGGCAAGGGTAGGTGTTGGGTGCCGGTGGGGGTGACCCGAACAGCAAGGAGGATGTGTTGGATCCTCCAAGGCTGGAAGTGGGCGACAGCACAAGGAGGATGTGTTGGGGGTGACCAGTAGCTAGGGCGAAGGTAACAGGAGGATTAGATAAGGGATTAAGGAAGATACAACACCGCCTTGGAGTAGGATACAGTCGGAGCACCACCATCTTCTCGGATAAATCCCTAGAACAGGGAAAAGACTCCACATAGAAAATCTAGAAGCAAACACAGCAAGAACTAACCCTAAACTCTGAAAACAACAAATAAATAGCTCCCACATGAAGGAGAAGCAGAAAAAGCAAAGAGGAGAGGGGTAGGATGAAGGAGGAAAGGGGAGTGCTGCAGTCCCACCCCGTCAAAATCCTGCTCTAGGCCGCTCGGCTTAGGTTCACCTTAGATCGGCCCTCAGTTAGACCAGTCGAGCCGGTCAGCAGTTCCCGCTCACGTTTTCATATCATAATCACAAATGACCATCAATTTCCTTTTAAACTCTCAAAGAAAAACCATTTCTTTCCATCCATCCATCAAGGCTTACGCTTGCCTCATGAACGAAGAACCCCACAAAACCCAATTGCACAACTTAAACATTGAGAAAAATCATAATTAAATTTGTTGCAGCAAAAAAGTTTCGGCAGTTCATTCACCAGTGCACTATAAATCATCCACAAAGCCTCACACCTAATTCATATTCAATAGGTCTATGAAATATGAATACTAGTAAAAAGTAAATGGATACCAGTACTCAGTATTCTCTATCAACCTCTGCACCCAATGCCTCAACTTCCCTAAAAGACTCCAATAAATCTCCTCCAAACTTCCGGACGTCTTAGTTATCTTCAGTTGTTTCAAAGCGCTAAACTCTTCTAGTATGCAGAAATAATGGAATTTGAAGATAAAATTTGACTACATAACCTTCAACTTGTCCAATGCGGTTACAGTTTAGGATAACACTGAAAAACTGTTACAAATAAAATTAACAAAAGTACTAAAGCAAAGAAATCTAAAAGATCTTATATTCAAGGGGTGGATCAACCCAAAAAAAATTAATGGAAAGATTAAGCAATCTGGTCTAAGAAAGCATACATTTTAGGGTTTGAATGTGGCAGACAAAATGAACATAATTATCAAAAAAATAATAATGGAATCATAGGAGCTTACACATTAGGATTTAATTAATGCAAATGAAATAAATGGAATGATCAAGTAATGAAATCTAATAGAGTCTACAATCTAGGGGTTACTCTGGTTAGACAATTCCAAATGAAAATAATGGAGAAAAGAGCAAAAATAAGAGGATCTAAGATCTAAGAGAGCACTTTAGGGTTTGATTGTTGCAAATGAAATTAAACGGAAGATCAAGTAATGGAAAATAATGGAGCTTAATTATTTTAGTGTTCGGCTGTTCAAATGAATTTAAGGAAATGATCAGCTAATCGGATTTAAGAACACTCCACTTAAGGGTTTCAGTGTAGCAAAATGAAACTAATGGAAAGACGAAGTGATAAGAAGTAAAAAACTCAAGCTTTAAGGTTTGACTATTGCTAAATGAAACTCATTGGATGGTCTAGGTTGAGATCAAGATAGCCTCCACTATAGGTTTTGATTGTTGCAAATGAAATTAAAATGGTCAAGTGTGAAGGAATCTAAGACAGCTTATAGTATAGATTTTGATTGTTGCAAGTAAAATTAAAATGAAGTAAAATAATGGAATCTAAGAGAGCTTACACTTTAGTTTTTATTTGTTGCGGCTGAAATTAACAAAATGACCTAACAATGGCATCTAATAAAGTTTACACTTCATGGAAACATTTATAAATTAAATTAATCAAAAAGTCATGTAAAATAATAGGATCTTATAGAATTTTAAACTATAGGATTTAAATGTAACAAATGGAGCTAATGGAAACAGAAAGTACAATTTAGGACTTGACTACTGCAAATTAAATTAATGGAATGCTCAAGAAAAGAAATGGAATATAAACCATAGGGTTTGACAACTACAAATGAATAAATGGAATGACCAGCGAAACAATGTAATCAAAAAGAGCTTACACTTTTGCAAATTACAAACTAAAAGGAATGATCAAGTAATGGGATCAAATAAAGCAAACACAATAGCATTTGACAGTTTCAAGTGAAATTAATGGAATAATCGAGAAGTAATGGAATCAAATAGATCTTACATTTTAGGTCTGACTATTGCAACTAAAAATTAATGGAATGCTCGAGTAAAAGAGAAGGAAAAATTTTACACTTTAGGTTTTATGATATGCAAGCCTTTTATTGTTTTCCCGCCATACCTGCTTTGTTGTAGTTCTGTTTGCTAATCTTTATCATTGCTCTCGATCGATGTGCTCAATTTTCGCAACCTAATACCCACTACAACCATTATTGGCTATTCCTATTAGATGAATTCCCATCCATGCTTGCATGTCTCATTATTTCACTATTACCGCTTTACATTGACGGCCAATTACAGTACCAACATCACCTTATCCACGTGCTCGTTCATATTTTGATAGAATTTTTATGCAATTCAAGAATTAGACTTATGGGAGAATATCTACTACTAAAATTAGTTGGAACATTCTTTAAGTTGGTTTTTAAAGATTTTGTGTAATTTCTCATTTTATGACCTCTGAAAATTATAGATGCAACTTTGAAGCAGGTAAGATCATTGCACGATGATTATTGAAATGCAATTACAATTTTTCTCTCCCATGCAAGTACTTGATGGATGTGAGCTTTGCAAGTTCTTCAAAGGTTTGGACAATACACTTTGTACTAGCGTCCTTCGAGATTGTTTCTATTATTTTTCTTGCCTTCTAAATCATTTAATCACCTTATGTGTTTAATTCAAATTATATAAATATCAGACTCTTTAAAGCAAGAAATCGATTAATTTAT